GAGAGAGAGAGAGAGAGAGAGAGAGAGAGAGAGAGAGAGAGAGAGAGAGACTTGGTTTTGCGTGGGCTTTGCAAGGTGAGTGGAGATACAGTGTCTTCCCTTTCCCAAAACCACTTTGGCCTGTAGGTTCTTAACGACTAGGTCTCAGCTCTCTTTAGATCCTCTCCACTTTTAGCTCCTTGCACCAGGGCAAGGTTCCTAAAAAAGGTGACAGGCCTGCCCTTACCTTGTTCTCATCTCTGCTAGGGGGCAGCAGAGTGCTCCACTAAGGCCCTAGGGGCTGACCAGAGTAGGTCACCTCTTAGCTCGGCCACCCAGCAGTCCGTGGGGTTCCTGCTGCCTTACTCAACCCTTGATGAGTCAATGTCCTCATCTGAAAAATGGGGTGCAGGATAATAATGACACCTACCCCAAAGCGTGGTCGTGGAGATTGGTTGACGTAATGCATGCTCAGCCCTCCCAGGTGGACACACAGTAATCACTGAATGAATGTGATGGCCAGCCTGTGTCTGGCTTCCTCCGACTTGCATTTCTGGTCTTCAGCTTAGTCACTTCCTCTGGGAGCCTCCTCCTGGCTCCCGAGGACCTGAGGACGGTTGCACACTCCCAGCACACATACCTGTCTTCTACCATAGCAACGACAGCTGTCGCCTCTCAGGGTCCCCATCAGGGTGCAAATTCTGTGAAGACAGGGGTCGGTCATTTACTAGGAGGCACAAATAATAGGCACTCAGTAGTTACTAAATAAATGACCCACAGCAAGGGTCCCAGTGGTCCTCCGGGTTTGGCAAAAAGCACTGGGGTCGTGAGGCCGAATGGACAGGCGTCAGAGAGCTGGACCTACAGGTGTGTGCAAGAAGAGTGGACAGAGAGATTCGGAGAAATGACGCTCAACTTTGGGGAGAGAATGAAGCCGGACGGGTCTAGCCAGCACTCTTTGGCCCCGCCCCCTCCCAGGCTCCTCCCAGAGCCCGCCCCCCGGGCTCCAGCCCTGCGGAAGCTACAACCTCAAGTGTCTGAGCCTCCCCCGCGCAGGGCGCGCCCCGCACGCTTATCCTGCCCCGGAGCAGCGCAGGGACCCAGCCCTCGCTCCACAGCCGCTGCGAGATGCTGCGCTCCACGTCCACTGTCACCCTGCTCTCAGGTGGCAGCGCTAAGTCGCCTGGGACGCCCAGTAGGCGGGTGAGTAGCGAGCTGGAGAAGGAGCTGCCGGGGGTCTCCTGCACAGATCCCTGTCGACCCTTCTGTAAGAGATTTGTGGTGGGGAGGATACTTAGGGGTCAGCTGCAGGCCGCCAACACCTCATCCTGACTTAAGTTTCCCGGCCTGTCCGGAACTGCACAGAGACCCTCTCTCTGGACACCCTGTGGCTGGAAGAAGAGGGCTTAGGCGACTTTCTGCAATACCCAGAAGTTTCCCCTCCTTGTCTCCACTGTCAAGCCACGCGTAAGCGCGACACCTGTTTAAGAGGGGGAGCAAGAGGTTTCTGAGTGTCTCTACCCTGAGATGCACAAGTAATGAACGTATGAAAATGCCAGCTTTCCTCCATCTCTTGATGAGGAGCGTGGTCCCTGTGCCCATCCACTGGTGATAGAGTGAGTGCCTCTGGTTCAGGGACCGGCTTTGTCAAGGTGGCTGCCTGTTTGCTGACCACCCCCAGCTGTGCAGGACCCTAGTTTATGCAGGCTGGCACTTTCTTCTCTGTGGCACCGGGGCCAGTCCTAAAGCCCTGGGCATCATCTCCGGGGAGGTTTCCCTGTGGAAATCTGTTTAGCCACAGACTCTGCCTCATCTGTTCTCACCTCCTCAGATGCTCCGTGAAAGAATGGCCAGACTAGTCAGGTTCACATGCTGTGCCCCTTCTAAGATCGGGGCCTCGGAGACACTGCTAGAGCTTGGCCTGTGGCTTTTTAGTTTTGGTGTCGTGATATCGAATACTCTCCTCTAATCATGTTTCCCCAGGTTCATCCCAACAGGTTAAGTCCAGACCCAAAGCCCCTTCTATAGTCAGGCCAGTTTGCGTGACTTGTGGACGAGCTTGTTGGCAGTTACCTTATACACGAAAGGCATGTGTTGCTTTTGGGTGTGGGCCAAGTGATGGTGTGTGTGTTTGTGTGTGCATGGTGGACACCAAAGGCTGACAGAACTCTGGTTGCTTGATCATTAACTTCATATAGTAAGTGTCACATTTGGCTGGTGGGTTTCCAAGCATAGTCCTACCTTACTACCAAAAGGGTATTGGACTTTTTCCCATGGAAAACTTTGTTAATTAGAACAAGTAATGAACGTATTAAAATGCCAGCTTTTTAAAATTTTGGTTGACAAAGAATGAAATCATTAAAAAAACAGCCCTGAGCTGTGTCCAGCACCCCTCCCCTACAGGGAGAGTTCTGAGGTAGATAGTGGGATCCTGTGGGTGAACACAGATGTGACCAGTGCATTCAGTAGCATCTTTGAGGATTTTCCCCTTGAATGGTGCTTTGGTGTCTGGACACACTATTGGGTAAGACTCCATCAAAACTTTGGGCTGAAGAGCTCATGCCTCTGACTGGAACATCCTATCACTTTTTGTGGACAGAATATTTCTAAAGGCTCCAGGAGCTGTGTGTGTGTGTGTGTGTGTGTGTGTGTGTGTGTGTGTGTGTGTTGGCAGGGCCATGTGTTGGGAAGCTATGGTGTGTTGATTGACTGACTGACTCACTGTATATATTTATAGATCTATTTCTGTGTGTTACAGGGCTGGGCACTCAGCTCCACTCTGCTCCTTGAGGCAAACGTTGTCACAAATGATGTACAGTGATGGCTTTTGTAGTGAGCAGAGTGTCTCCAGGGTTCAGTGACACTAAGAGGAAGGCTCTTCCTGAGGTGTGTGAGGCAGGCCTCTCCCTGCAGGTGAGCTGCTAGGTAGTCGGCCAGCAGAAACAGGAGTTTGGAGGCCAGTGGACATGACTGGTTGGGAAAACAGAACTATCGTTCCTCTCAGTGGATGCTTGACCTAGCCTCTATGACAATGTGTGTTGGACCTGCTTTGAAACAAAACACCTTAAAAAAAAACTTATAGCAACACAAGAAAATCAAATTATACACTAAATAAGTAACCACGAGAAATGTTTCTGAAATTGAAAAGTTTTCAAGAAATCCTGTACTCTCTCATCTCTTGCCTGCTCTTGGACAAGAGGTGCTCTCAAACGGGAATACTTTGGGGTGTGTTCAACCTGTCACTCGTGGGCTGCCTGTGGCCAAGGGTAGCTATGACTGTAGTCCAACACAGAGTCACGAATGTTCTTAAAACACCAGGAGATGCTATTGTTTGCTTTGTAACTCAGCTGCATGGTTCTTGAGGGTGAACTTTGTAAAGGAGAACGCCGAGTCTCAAAGTCAAAAGGTCTGCTAGCTATTAAAATAGACCAGCTTTATCCACAGGGCTTATCAAGGTAGTGGCTGTGGGGAAAACCAGGCCGCGCTGTCGCAGACTTCCAGCCAACCAGAGGTGGTGGCAGCGGCGGAGGCGGGTGATGCTGTGCAGGAGTTGCCCTGAGTCAGGCTGTCCCAGGTCACCCTTTGTTCAGTGACTGCCACCTGCAAATGTACTTACTTCCCTCTTATCTGAAATCATCTGCAGGGGGAGGAGGGAGCCTGGTGGGGAGGGTGATTTCTGTTAGCGGATAAACAAAACTCGGAGAGGCATTCATACACACTAGCCAGTGGGAATTTAAAAAAAAAAAAAAAAGAATCTGCCTTCAAACCAGTTGTGCACTAAAAATAGTTTTATCTATGGCAACAGCGGGAAGATAAAGTGTTCGGAGGATAGGTGCAGCTAGAATGATGACCTTGGGGGGGGTGGGGGTGGGATTTCAGAAAATAGCTACACGAAGGACTGCATGATTTTGAAAGGAATTTTGTAATTGAAGGTTAGCCTCACAGCCTAGGCCTTTGAAATGAAGTCAGTTGTGTGGCCGGGTTGTGTGCCTGGAGTGGAAGGCACGTGCCGTCTCCTGCAGCCGGGTCCTTGGAGCTGGGCTCCACTGGGCTGGAGCAGAAGGAGCTGTGAGGCCTGCCACAGGTCTCTCCCGCACTGTGTTCTGTTGAGAAAAGGAGACTTGGCTGCTTGTAGCTGGTACCGTGACCCCTTGGTGGAGTGAAAAAGCCCAACTCAAACAAATCCAAACAAGGCCACGGGGTACGATTGTTTCCTAACCGGCCCTTCCCTTGGCAAAGGCCTTCTCTCTTAAAACCCAGCGCAGGCCTGCCCATCATCACTCCCTGGCTGGCGCTCGGCTCAACAGTCTCATTCCAGCCTTGTTGGTTCAAAAATAAGGAATTCCCCTCGACCGGCATGGGAAAGGGGCTGGCGGGTGTTCACCCAGCTTCCTCTTCTCAATGGAGGAAACAGCCTGTATAGCTCTGGTATCCTGTACCCCGTGGAATCAAAGGAGGGTGTGCACACAGCTCTACCATCCTGTGGGATGTGAGGAAGGGACATGGGATTTTGGGGGCATTCAGTCCCTGATGGAAGGAAGCTGATTGCAGTATCCACTGACATGGGTGGGGATTTTCATTGCATTCAGAAATCTGCCTGGCTCCTGGATCCCACTGCTTGGGATCCTCCTGAGCCAATTCCTGACAGGCCAGGCTGTCGAGTTTAGACCTGTGGCATCACCAAGACTTAAAGCCAAAGACTTCTGCCATAACACCTGACAGTTAGAGGCTCAGAAAAACACCAACCCCCCCCCTTCTTTTGTTTCTCTCTATCTTGCTTTGTTTCATGTAGGGTGGGCCAGACGTGGGGCTCTGAAGGACACTTGGTTTATGGAGAGTTCCACGTTTATTCTGCAGTATATGGAAAGAAGGTCTTAGCCTTGTTCCTGGGCCGCTGCAGAGGCCTACATGTGGTCCCTGTTGATGTTTTCCTGTGCTGTGGATTCACATCCCAGCAAGGGACCTGGAGCTTTGTGTTCCCACCGAGCTTCTTGGTGGCTGGCACACCCTTCCAAGTCAGTGAGCCTCAGGTGCCTGATGGAGTTCAAGAGCTGACTCGATAGGGTTGAACCTGAGGTCTAACCTGAAGCCCGTCAGCCGTTACCTGCTTTGGGGTTTAAAACGGCCCCAGTACTTTTCCAGCGTGCAGGAGAATAATGCACTGGTGTTTGCCTCTTTCTGACGAGCCGTGTCTCCTAAATGTCAATCATATGGCTGACTCATAGCCATTCTTTATGGAAGCGAATGATCTTTTCTAACATGCAAAATCCAGCCACCTGGGTCTTCTGCATCAGGAGCCTCTGCAAGGCCAAACTCCTAGTGTGACGTCCAGGCCCCTGAGCTGACTCTGGTCTTCCTTGTCCTTTATACGCTCCCCAGGTACCCAGGCTCCCACCTACCACTCCAGAGCTTCCAATGCTGTTTTTCTCTCTTCGCTTCATGCTTCTCCCATAGTGAGACTCCCAGTCTCCCCCAACCCTCATTCCCTCAGCCTCTGCAGCCCACGGTTGTGTGGGGCTGAGTGACCACTTGCGAAGCTCTAGAGAAGCCCTGTGCTAATATGGTGCTCCCCACACAAACACAGGTCCTGAGTTCAAGGCCCAGAACCCTTGTAAATAAAATGAAATAAAATAAAGAGCCAGGCATGGTGGCTGTGTGGTCTCATCATCTCAGCAATGGGGAGTCAGGCACAAGCAGATCCCTGGGGATTGCCGGCCTACTTGATGAGTTCCAGGCTACTGAGAGACGTGTTTCAGTAGAAACCAAGGTGGGTATAATGACAGCCAGGGTCCCGGAAAAAAACCGCACTTGACACACATTTGGGAAAGGAGAACTTAGGAAGCGAAGTCCTGGGATCCAGCCAGCCGAATGCTTCCGTCCTACCTGGGAAGGAAGAAGGTGAGGAGTGGCTAGAAATGCTGGCCCAGGTGAGAAGTTAGACAGTCTGGCAAGGTCTCCAAGTACCCTCCTTGCCTCTTCCTCTGCCATGGTTGGAATTTCACTTATTGGGTTAATTCGGTGACACTCCACCTTGGTTCTACATAGAGTCATTAGGCGGCTTAAAACAGTTACGTCTGGGTCCCCCTCAAAGCCAACTGTAGGGAACACAGGCTGAAAGGACAAGCCCCTGTGTTGACTGGGGAGCAGCCTCTGTGATTGTGAGTACAGCTGAGAATGAGAGTTTTTCTAGGCTTTGCTTCCCC